TCAATTCAATTTTCCATCACACAATTGGCTGAGTTAGCTGTCAGTTTATTCTGCCTGTAAATGAGCTATTTCTATTTAAACTCCATTACGTCAAGGCAGTGAGCAAGCCTCGGACATTCACATATTCGAACTCTGATTTGCAGAAGTGTAGGTGTAAGTGGAAATCCTGAACAAACACAACTATCTGATTGCTGCCAGGGCAGCCAGTCCACCAACTTGATGACTTCTGTGAGTGACTCCGTGGGAAGTAGGATATTCTGCATATCTGGTAAAGTAAGATCTCTCGTGAGAAGGGTTGAAAAAAGCTGAGCAAACTAGTTTGACAAGGATAGCTTTTGGCATAGTGACACAGTTTTACAAACTTTTATTTGAATACCCTTTCGCTAAGAAATGCTGAGGCACTTTTATGAGCACAGCTGCCATTCTCAAGAGTACAAGTAGCTGCTACTGTTCGATTGCTGCCGTTTCTTTATCAGAGTAATCTGATTCCAATATTTAACAAGAGACAGCTCACATTTGTATGAAACTCATGACATGCAAGTCTGTGTAGGAATACAGCATAGTAAAGTATTCTGTACAGAACATTTTGCACTTTTCCTGGATTGGGAGGATACAGAGAAGTTTCTATTTTTTATTACATATTGAAATGGAGTATAAGGAAAATCCTTCTACTGCTGTGACAAGTCACAGAAATAATGTATTCCAGCTCAGTACTAAGAGATAAGATAAGTTACATTACCTCTGTTGCAGTAGTCAATGTAAATGAGGATTAAGGAAAAGAATTACAAACCTGGCAAAGGTCATGTAGACTGGCGGATGAATTCTCTGGATAGCAGTGACACAGAGTAAGTTAAGGTCTCAGGGTAAAACACAGAGGACTTGCATGTCAATACCAAGCACTATAGAGAATTAATCTTTTCTGTGTACACAATATTGTTCAGACTAGTGCCAGGATGCTACTGCCTTGCTCTTTGCCTGCATTTTAACAGGGCATAGAAACCCCAGAGAGGGTTTGAAGGACACTAGTAAGGGAGCTGAGAAACTTTCTTCAGGGTGCTCATTCTTACTGACTTTGTAAAGAAAAAAAGCAGAGAGAAAGTTTGTTCAGCTTGTAGAGATATTTACACCTTGGAAATACAGCTGAAAATGCAAAAGGAAAGAGATTTCCAACTTTGCTAAAAAAGACCTACCTCCAATGACAAAAACTTAACATTAAGAAAATGTAACTTTGGAACAGGATAAAATTGCTCTTTGTGTAGAACAGCGTGCTGGAGAGTAAAATGGCTCATCACTTCCTAGATTAAAGACTTTTCTGAAGATAATCTTTGACCCAACTTCTTTGCAAGAAGAGTTCAGAAAAGCAGAGCAAACTCGTTTGACCAGGACAGCTTCTGGCATAGTGACACCTGTTATGAACTTTTATTTAAATATCCTTGAGCAAAGCAAGACTGATGAACTTTTATGGACACAAGAACTTTCAGAAAGTACATGGGCTGAGAATTAGGCTGAATGTGATGGTCTCTTCACTTCTGTAGACTTCCATCTTGCTTATCCCATCCCTTCTGGGGTCTTAGGAAGAGAAGGGCAGGGAGCACAGCTCTCATAACTGCAGCACTTAGTGAAGACAGATCCAACATCTGAGTCTCAGTCTGCAGCCCCATGCATAACAATTTGTACCAGTTTGCTGTAAGCCCCACAGAGGCATAGGAAGCCCAACATACGACTTCAGGGAAATTCAGTCCACTCAAATCTGGGCCATAATCAGCGTACACAATGTTTCATGCTTCAGAGCTTCTGACAGCAAGGGCCAACCCGAAATTCTTTGCCCCAGTGTGTAACTAGAGATGGAGGGGGTGACTGGTGCTCTGAAGAGGAACAGAGCCACAACAAGGACACAGGCCAGGATAGAAAAGATATCAAAACAGCCTGCACTCCCAGCATGACCCAGAGTGTTCTTATTTGAATGACACATCTACTTTTATTCTTCATGGTTCATTCTGACCATCAGCAGCAGAACAAATGAGCCGGCAAAGATATTGCGTAATTCTACTCCTCCGTCAGAACAGACAAAAGCCATCTTGCAACTGAGAGGCAGCAATCTGCAGAGCTTATGTACATGCACAAAGATTTGAGCACCGTCTGGTAATGTCTAGAGCAACATGGCTCTGTTTTTTCACCCCAGAATGAGTAAAATTTACTTTTGATTCTGCTAGGGTAGCTAAGGATACTTTTCACCCCCAGAAATCTGGTGGGTTTTTTGTTTAATTTGGATTTTGTTTGGGTCTTTTATATATATGGATCTTTTTATATATATACATATACACACACACACACACATGTATGCATACACATACATACATAAAAAGCATGCAAGAACATGATAGACTGTTTCTTGATTTCATTTTGTGAAACATGATACCCTTGATGGCATCTTTGTCCAGCTTGAGATCTTCAGACTGCCCTGTGTTAAGGAAAAAAAGAAGAAAGTCCCCTACAAGTGTTCATTTAAGAGTCGCACTGGCCACAAATTATTTCTCCTGGTCCCTCCTGTGCATAAGGAGTCTGTATAACAAACCCTACAAAGTAATGCTCTCAGGGAAAGTAAATCACCAATTTTGCTGGGTCCGCAAGAAATCACCCCATGGGATCTCATCTCTCACCTACCTCTCTGTGTTTTGCTGCAGTAGTTGTTTCCAGCAGAAGGGATGTAACATAAAAGACAAGACTCATATGCAGTTACCTTGAAAGGAAAGTTCAACGGGCAGCATCAGCCCAGCAGCCCTCCCAGGGGAGGCCCACGTTACACAGGGAAGGGCACTTCCACTCACTATGGTCCAACCCTGCAAAGCACTCTGCCTCCCAATGCTGGTCCCATGTTCCAGTAGATGCCCTTAGCTAAGTTCTGTCTTGAAAAAGTGTATGTTTGGTCCTTTTAAAAAAGCATTTTGAGCCACACGTTTTTTCATGACAGTTATCACTGATACTAGAGTAACTATAGCTGTTTTCCAGGCAAGACTTAAAATCTGGGTAAGTGATGATATGAGAAATTGCATGAAAGACAGGAAACAAGCCAAAGCAATCATCAACTGCTCAAAAACACCTTCAGAAAAAGCAGCATTGTAAACTTTATATGTATAAAAAAAGGAGCGCATTAAAAAGCAGAGCAAGAAGAAACTAGAGAAAAATCCAAATGTGTTATACAGCCAAAGAAGCTGAAGCAACTATTAAAAGAGGTGATAGCAAAATACAAACTCAGCAGAAATCTAACTGGCACATCCACACCAGCCACAAGGCTTGTTAAGGATGAACACGGAAAGGCCTTGAAAACAAAAGAAAACAGCTGGCTTAGGCAACTGCAATGGAAAAGCAGGTTGGATTTCAACTGTGTAGACAAAAAGCTGATCTAACACATGCCCTACAAGTATTCTCCAAAGATAGAATTAAATGGCAAAAACCACTCAGATGGCACAGATTTTAAGAGATGACTTGATAACCTCCAAAACAAGCCACTCCAAAGGATCTCGAGGAACTATGATGCATCAAGAAAAGTAACTCTCATCAAGCCTTTACACTAAGGCACATTTATACTGGTAAAGTAAAATATTGGCTCAAGTCTGTATTTATTTTAGATGCTGGTGTCAAACGAGAATGTATTTCTCTGATTTTTAATTTGGCATTGCTACCAGAAGCAACAGAGATGCAACAGACACGACATGTGACTCAGGAGCATTTTAGGAGGTTTAGAATCGTCGAGTCAGAGTCAAAGTGGCAGCTCAATGGTGTACAGCTATAACACAGTGTCCAAGACTGCAAAAAAGATGGGGTTAATAACTAGCTGTGTAAAACATCTGCAGACAAGACAAGTAACTCTCGACTCAAGCCCTATTCTGGAAAGTAATGGAACAAGATGGAAGTTGGTTCACATACTTTGGCAGTAACTCAAAGACAGTGGAGATACCCAGAAGAAAATAGCATCACGAACTGGTGAGGTGGCAGCTCCATTCATGAGCTGAAAACAATGTTTTGTCATAAAAACTACAACACTTCCACTCAAACGTTATTTCCAGTTTTATTAACAGATGGGTGTGAAAAATGGAAGTCTACCAACAGTATAGGCAGAGGTCTGTGCATCTTCAAAAGCAATCTCTCAGGAAAACACGAGGTATTAAATAGAACAGCTTTAAAACCACCGCTAAGATTTGTCAGAGACCAACAACTACGTATGTCCCAAGTTACTGCCATCTTTTCCAGACAACTGGGGCATGCATCAGAAACACATGAGAATATCTGTCCTGGCAAATTCTTCACCAGCAGCTGAAGGCACATGTTAAATGTGCTAATTGTCAGAATCCTTTCAACACACAGCTCTTCAGGAGGCAATTTAGTACTAGAAAGGACATGCAAAGAGCAGCATAAGCATAGTTTGGGACAGGGGAGCCTATTTTATTTTGCCCTAAGCAACACTTGATGGTTTGGATGGAATTCAGATTCAGAATAAAATAGGTTTGCCTTCAAAACAGATTGCATAAATTGGCTTTAGGTTTTAGTGCAATTTTCTTTTTAAATGGACCAAATCTTTAAGTTGCTCATAACTCAACTGCTTGAAAACAGCAGCAAACCTAACTGCCCCCAAGGAAATATATTCTTATCCCCAAACTGAGACACATAGATTGGCCAGCCAAGCTGCAATGAAGGAAACTGCTACAGCAGCATCTTGAATTTAACAGCAACCAGCAGTCCCCAGACAGCCCTGAGAATTGCAAATCTAAAGGTGTGACTTCTGTTTCACAGATTTACTTTGCGTCAATCAAAACTATGTAAAACTCAGTCCTTAATATCCATTCAAAACTATGAAGGCAGTTTAGCAGAAGGGGATAGAAGTGATAAGGCATTAAGCTTTTATGCCTGTATTTTATATCTTGCAGCAAAGCAAGGCAACAAAGTAATACTTCAACAGTTTGCTCAAATAAAGGTTTAAATCAGCAATCTGATCTACTCACCCTTTTCACCAGTATCCAGGGAAAGTTTCTTAATGTCATCAGCCAACACATCCTGCAAGTGGTCTTGTCCATACTCTGCATCATTATCATCAAACTGAGCTTCTATAACGACATCCGGACTTTTAGCATCGCCTTTCGCTGTCTCTCGAGGAATGCAAGTCCCCAACATATCCTCGGGGACATCTGATTCATGTGTGGCTTCTGTTTCTTTGTCACTACCATCTGGCTTTATTACCTGAAGGAACAGGAGATTAAAAAAAAAAAGAGGCAAGCTAAATCACTGGACTGAAGAAAAAAAACATTATCTTTCCTTTTTCATCTGCATCCCCAAGGAGCTGACAATGAATTGTGGGTGGCTGGTGGCACACTGCAATTGCCATGTAATTAGCCACAGATATTGCACAATCAAAAGAGGTACCTCACTAGGATAAAGACGGGAACGGCATGGCTTTTGCAATACTTCAACTGTGACAATAAAGTATCCAAAGCGTATCTAGAGCATAACCATAAAGTTCCTGCCAAGCCTCTAATCGGCTCTCCAGAAGTTGGGAGTAAGCACAGAGCGGGAGGAGGATACACTACAATTTAATGAGTCGCTTAGACCATTGTTCACCAAGATACACTAATCATCCTGGGAAGTCCCAAAACTCAAGCAGTTCCAGTGAATGCTGGGATCATGTCAAAGCACATCTCCGGGAGAGCTCCCCAACACACAATTAGGAACAGACTGAGAAAGTACAGACCAGAGAACACGGTGCCCTGCGACCTGCGGAGGAACTGGACTGTGGCAGCTTGGTAAGGCACAAAGCTTTACATTTATTTTAGGCTCTGGTCTTTTTGTTAAAGGCACTCAGTTATTGCTGTTACTTATACAAATCTCCTAATTAAATTACCGAGAGGAACGAACTCAATTAGAGTACAAATTGCTTAACCATTAACTAACTGATAATTCAGATAAGTAACTGACCATAGCTACAGATTTGTCCCCACTTTAGTGCAGCAATTGCACAGGGGGAGGAGAAACCATATGTGTAATCACGTCAAACAAAATCATTAAGAACCCATGTCCCAGTAAAGCAGACACCAAACCTGGATGGCAACCCTCATTGCATGTGACAGAGGCAGAAAATGCTCCATCTCAGGTTATAATGATCAAAATGGTTCATACCTTGGACACATATGTCTGTACTAGCATCCTTCACGCAACCAACAGCGAGTTGCAAGCACCTACCTGGCCCTAGAACCTAGATCCAGGTTTTAGTTTCAAAAGTGCTTAAGTTTCACTCAAGCTGTGGTACTTCAGTGTGAGATTCAAATTGGCATGGAATGAGAAATAACCTACTAAACATTAAAACCACAAAGAAACTGTGTGACCCCATTCCAGTGCCTTCCCGGCGACCAAGCTCCTCTCCAGCCGATGAGGACTGGTGTTCGCCAGAGAGGTAACTCCCTGGAGATGCTCCTCCAAGGTCCCCAGTCCTCAGCATCGCTAACCCAGTACATGACAGCAGCAACTCATGCCACCAGCAAGGCAAGTGAAGGGCCCTTTAAAAAAACGCAATTAAAAAAAAAAAACAAACTTTCTGGTAACATACTTGACAGACATAGTCACTAGAAATAAGCATAAATAGCCTCAACAGGTCCTAGCTGAAGATAACCATTCCAAGTAAGAAAAATACAATCCAAAAAGCTCCACAAATTATTGTTTAGTAACTAAAAAGCAAATCAGACCTGTACAGGGAAGACTTTCACAATTTTACATATACAGAGCTACAGTCATGCTTTCAAGCAGTACCCATTTCTTTGTAATCTTTTCACAACACATAACAGAAATAAAATCAATTTTAAAACAGGGTTGAATTCAAGTCTTTAAAAAAAAACAACTCAGATGACATTACTTTGAACTCTTGTTACCTTTTGTGACGCTGCTTTCCATCTTTATTTTCATTTTTTAATATGTATATAACTTGTTACCATAGCAGATTTTGACTCAAACATTAAATTGTGACAAAAAGGGAAACAGTTTGGCAAAAGTGGGAAAATGGCCGATTATTAAAACTGGCTACATTTGGTACATAAAATACTGACACACAATGGTCTGGGCAAGAACAGTCTATTAGATTAGAGAGCTGACAAGGCTCCACACGCTAGTGACTCTGCCAGTGTGCCTATCCAAAAAGAAAACCAGTGTCAACAGTAATGTTTGGACCCTACCATGGTCAGATGTGGATGTATTCAGGTCTTAAATTTCAATTGCACCAGATGTGTGCAAGCGTGCAACTGCAGCAGGAGTTCATTTTCTTCAACCCCTTCAGGCTTTGCCTGAATTTCTTTCTCTCCAAGTCGTTCTTTGGAGAGCCTGAGATATGTTTCAGGTGCTAAATTACAAAGCTTTCTATATGTAATGCAGCAAACATCATCAAATATATCTGAATGATAGGAAGTGCTTCTCTAAAGATGCAGCACTGAAAAGCTTATGCTTGAAGAGTTTATGTTGCATTAAAGAAGGCAGCAGATACAGATTTCTTTTTAAATGCTATATGCTAAAATTACCATGCTTCCCCCAAGCTAGAGGATACACACTGCTGTCGCTAGCTAGCATGATACTCCAGCTGTGACTACCTAAGCCCCCTGTCACACATTTCCTTATGGATTTGCAAATGGATTTTTAAGTAAAGTTTTCCAGAGCCTACAAAATCACGACCTCCACGCAGCACAGAGCAGCAAAATGTCCAGATGCAGGCAAGCATGGGTGATAGGATTTGTTTTCTTTTTAAGGCCAAGACAGATCATTTAGGCTGACCTCATACATAATAGACCAAGGAATTTCACCCAAGATTTCTTACATCACACCAAAAATTTAGGGAAGCTGTACATCACAAGACTGGAAAGCTGCATAAGACTTTACAAAATCAGGAGCTAAATGGGTACAATTACTCCATTTAAGATGATCAGAGTCGCTGGCCAACATGAGCTCATCACACAGATTCCAAAAAGCAGGATCCTTCTGTATACGAGCAGCAGCAAATCTGACCATGACAGAATAAGCATTTCTTACGTGCAGCATCTCAGAAACCAGAAACTGATGATACTGCACTCTCCTATTTCTCGTATGCTATTGAAGCTTATACATGACATAACACATACAGTTAGAACATACCGGTACTCATCAGAGATGAAGAATAAACCAAATACACAATTGGCTAAGTCTATCACATAGTCATACGTGCAGTACAGAGCATCGTTCTTTGCCAATCCAGCTGACTCTGCACGGACCCAGAAGGAGGGGATTCCCCCGTGCTGCATATGCATGAAATGCACGACTCTACCACCATGCAAACATCCCAGGATGCATGGCTAAAGCCCCTTAAAGGACCTTAACTTCCTGACCTGGTAAGTCAAAAGTCAACTTTATGGTTATATTATTTTCATACGCTTTTTAATAAAAAAATATTTTAATAAGCATTTTGATGAAAGTCAGTTGCTTATTTGAATGTCTGATCCTTAAGATAGTGGCTGAATAAGCTTTCTTCCAACTTTAAACAAACATCTACCACTGAACAAGCATCAAGTTTCTGCCCCACAGTGATTAGTTTGTAAAGTCATAGCTGACTGAACACAAGATCTTTGAATGAAAATCCCATTTCAACCATAAATGTAATAAAAAACAGCTAGTGGGCAAGTACATCCTGGCATGGATATGTACAATCTGGACAGCAGAGTGATTACCTCGCTGCATCCAGCCCCATCTTGAAGTAGCCATCAAATGAACAATTGTCCTTACTCGGGAGGAATTTGTTCCAACAGAAAACCGAACCGGGAGTCTGTGCATCTGAAAGCACAAGGGTTACCTCCTGAGCTGCAGGAGAAACTGCTTTCTCTGCCAGAAGCTATCTTATACCTGCCCTGTTAGTTCCAAGCTTTTCACAGACTTTCCACCTAAGCCTCACATCCACACATGGACAAAGCTCAGGCCTGTTTATTCTCGGATGAGGTATAAGTTTTTTGTTGCTGCCTCCTCAATGGCAACAGTTAACAACTTATACCTTAGTCTATAATCTCAACTACCGAACCAGACCAGTGATTCTCAATCATCTTTGAGCTATTAACCCCCCAGGCTTTTTCCAATAAATGCACCAAGCCCCCAAAGTGTTTAAGCCTGATACTAATAGGTTTGCTTTTCCTCCTTATTTATCTCTGATCCTTATAAGCAATCCATGAATCCTCATAGATCTGAAGATGAGACATGGATGACTACTGGACTAGACACAGTCCAAACAGATGCACCTTGCATGGCTAAGGTCACTGTTTTCAACAACAGAAGCTTGTGCAAAGAGACCTCCTTCACCGAAAGCATCTTGCAGGTAAGGAAGCAGGATCATTTCCCTCACAGCTGTTTTGGACACAGATTCAATAACAGTGAAATTCTTCATCTCACTCAAATGCTGGTATTAAAAAGAAGGACTAAAATACTGAGCATACTATTCTTGGGATTCTTCAGGTCAAACTTGCCCACTGCACTCCAGGACATCACTATTACTTCAAGCAGAGAGCATCTTAAATCCTTCTTTAAACATCCAACTACTTGTGCTCAGTTTTCCCTGTCCTTTTTTCCATAGCAAAACTGCTTCAGAAATTCAAAGACAGCATTTGCTTCCACTTAAAAAAGAAACAACAAATAGATACATGACTCATTCTAAAAAAAAAAAAAAAAACCCGAAAGAAGTGTTTAGATTTGATAATGAAGGAGCACGCTTATGACATTTATCACACTAGCCAAATTTGGTCAGCTAGACCCCTTGCAAGGTATCCTTGCCGCTCCAGAATTCACCAAAGCCCCCAAAGGAGGTCTTGCAATGAACGCGCAGTAGGAAACCCACAAATACACAGAACAATCCACTGGGAATTAGGTTTTTGGTGGGATTCCACAGAGGTCTGCAGTAGGCCAAGCATTCCCAATAATCTGAAACTAAATATTAAGTCACTGGTAATAAAACTCGCAGATGACAAAGACTTGCAGAGCAGTCAAGTCCAATTGGTGAACAAGGCTGATCTGAATCCAGAATGTTTGAGAATAGCCAAAAGTAAACTCAAATATCTAAGAATATGCAACACATGCCTGTGAATGGGTCTGCCTTGGAAATCACTGACTCTGAGAAGAATGTGAAAGATTTCTAATGAACAAAAATCTCAGCAATAGGATCCTTAGTATTATAAACAGTAAAAGCAAGCTTA